GGCCAGGCAGTGTGGAGATGGGTGTGATTTGAGAAGTTTGGGGGCCCCCAAGCCCCCAGCTACCACATCCTACAGGCTGTTGTGGACCTGGGTCTCATAGCTCTGTGTTGTCACTGCCGGCTATTGTCCATCACCTCACCTGGCTGTGTGCTGGGCCAGCCCACGAGGACAGGCATGCCATTTTTCTGGTACCTGCCATGTCCCAGTGCCCAGCACAGAGCCTGCAGGCACTTGGTAATATCTGTGAGTGAATGAAGGCCTCTGTCCAAGCACCTCGCATGGCCCCTGGCACATTGTAAGTGCTTAGCAAATGTTTCTCGCATGAGTGGTGCTAAACACAATGTAAAATAACAATTTTGGATAAAATCACAACTGCGCCTCTAAATGGAGCAGAGGGAGAAGACGTTATCAGGCAGCTTCAGTTGAAGACTGTTTCAACTGAAGACTGCATTTGAAGGCTGGAGAGAAACATCCTGGTGTTCCTGTGTGATGAGACATAGTTCCCTTTAGGCTCAGGACAAATCTGTTAGCTTAGAGGGCGGGGCAGTTCGGTGGGAAGAGCTCTGCGCTCCACACGATGACCCGTCTCTGATATTCAGTGGTGGAGGACCTTGAACTAGTCATTCAACTTTTCTACACCTTAGTTTTATCATCTATAAAATGAGAATGATAATGATGCCTGCCCTGTTTCTCCATGGAGTTATTGTAGAGATCATTGATGCGGGGAGGGGGAGAGAAGGAGCAGAGAGAGGGGAAGAGAAATAGATTAATGTGAAAGTGTTTACAAAAGTTGTAAAGAGTTACAGATATAAGATATGCCTGAAACTAAGCACAAAGAGTAATTAATTCTGGGTTGTTCTCTCAGGGCCTTTGGCTGTTTCCAGTAACATCTTAATAAAAGACACGGAGATGTTGTTCACACAGGTGATTCATTTACTTCCTAATAAAGAAAGAAGGCATAGTATTAGATTATAACAGTGTGAGAGCGGATAGGCAGGGGGCTGAGGTTTTCTGACCCTAGCTGGCACTCTTACAGAAGCGTCTAGAACAAGATGTAGTGAACATGTTTTCCTCTCAACTGTCAGATGTCTTCAGTCATCAGAAGTCCAGCCATCCGTCTTCGGCACATGTCAGATCCAAGACCATCCACAGCCAAACTATCTAACAAGGGTCCCAGGGTAGAAATTTGGGGGCGCGCGAGAGAGTGAGGGCTGTCTGCTGTGAGAAGTGATTTGGGGGTCAGGCCAGCAGTGGGGGCCCAGCCTTCCAGTCAGGGAGGGGGTTGCAGGTTTGGAGGCTGGGGCAAAGCCTGGCACACCGGCTGGAAATCTGAAATGGCCCCGCAGGAGTGGCTGGCTGGGATGCCCAATGTGCTGAGCTAATAGTACTTATTTTCTCCAGCAGGGCACTGTGTGGCTCTCCCCAGCAAGTGTGCAGGTATTCGGTTCATACCTCAAGAGATCTGGGCCAGGCAGTGTGGAGATGGGTGTGATTTGAGAAGTTTGGGGGCCCCCAAGCCCCCAGCTACCACATCCTACAGGCTGTTGTGGACCT